TAGAGGGATCTATGTGGACTCACCGCAGCGACTGAAACTCCTCCGTATCCAGGAACAAAATCCATGGCATCCGCCTGAAACATTCATTGACACCAAACCCCCCACAATTCTGGGTGTCGGAATGATGGCAGCATAAGTGCAGGAAAAGCCTATACCTGCAGGAATGAAGTCATTGTGTGAAGGACATTTCTAAATGCACTTCAATTGTACTTCAGAATCGGGTGTGATTGCAGAACTCCAGCACAAGGCTCTCTAATGCACTTTCTTTAAAAGCCATCAAATCATTTTTTTCAATTACCTGAAATGTGACAGGTCCTCTTCAAAGTCTGCCTCCTCCGAGTATATTTATGCCATATGAGTGATTGGCCACAAACCTCTAACTTCATTATTTCTCTGCAGACTGATCGGGACGTTCCGCATGGTCCTCCAGAAGGTGGTGGAAGAGGCGCAGCTGGAAGTGACGGACACTCTCATCGATGACAACAATTCAGCAATCAGAGTACGTATCTAGAATGGGTTTTGAAGATCAATTTGCTCGAATTGTAAAATTGTTGTAAGGTAATGCAGAGAACATCACGGCTCTGTGCTAAACTTCCTTGGTTTATCTTAAAGTGACATTACTCTTACACCCAGATATTACTTCTAAGCAGGCACGGATTTCCCACAAGGCCACCGAGACCCGGCCTCGGGGCGGCAGGGCGCAGAGGGGCGGCAGCGGTGTGAAGTCCCCCGACGCCCGGAAAATACAGTTCCGGGCGGGTAAAGGTGCCCATACACTGCTCGATTCTCGTACGAGAATCGCGGGAAATCCCGATTGTACGAGAATCGAGCAGTGTGAACGAAGACGTGTGACCGTTTCTACTGTACGGTCGCACGTCTTTTGTCTAAGGAGCACGCTAGAAAACCAGCCGAGAATCGTACGATTTTTGGCTGGTTTGAACGGTGCTCAGGAGACAAATGCCGAACGGGCCGGTGTGCGCACACGCACACTGCCCGTTCAGCATTGCGGTCATCGGAAATGATCGAGAGTACAATCTGCCTTTCCAAGATGGGCAGATCGTAAGTTTTTTAAATCACTTTACAAGCATCGGAAGACTAAGGTTTTGCGATGGTTGTACAGTGTATGGCCACCTTAAGTTGCCTTGTAGGGAATCCGGCCGTACATTTACAGGTGATCGCGGCGATGTCACCGCAATCACTTGTAAAATCTGTGCAGCCTGTTCGTCCTCCCCCCCTCACTTACCTCTGGTTCCGGCCGCCGAGTCTCTCCTCACTTGCCGTCGATGTGGGGAGCAGAGCGGCAGGGTTAAAAATAACCCTGCCGGTCCATGTAGACTGTAGACAGTGAGAGGGGAGAGCTGTGCTGTGCTAGAACTCCTGTATTGGAGGTGACGGGGTCAATAAAGAGAACCTGTCACCTCCAAATGCTATAGCACAGGGGATTGTTAGCTAGAAAAAAAAAAAGAAGAAATAATAATTAAATAAAAATAAATAAAAAGGTGATTAAAAAGAAAAACATAATAAGAAATAAAATATTAAAAAATAAGAAAATAACTATAAAAAATAAACAACAATAAGATTAAAAAAAATTTAAAAAGTAAACGATAAGCTAAAAATGTCAAAAAGTAAAAAAATTAATTAAATTAAAAAGTGATAAAAAAGAAAGAAACAATAAAAATAAATAAAACTAACCCTGCCGCCCCTGCCATCCGGTTGCCATTCTCCGTTGATGGGGGGGTGCGGGGAGGGGGGCGCATAGCAGAACCTGGCCTTGGGGCGACAGGGATAGTAAATCCGGCCCTGCTTCTAAGACGATTGTATGGAGGAGATAGTGGCAGCTGTCTGTTCAGCCAGTCTTGTGATCCTGCTGGACATCAAAGCTGAGTTTTCAGCTACCTAAGAAGGTGGATTGAGGGGCTCAGATGACTGATTCATATTATTACCAGGGACACAGCCAACCACTTTCCTTAATGGGTGTTACTACATCTCTTGCCCAGTGCTGGCTCAGCCACCAAAGGAGCAGGCTGGCATGTTGTCACCAGCGACATCACACTTAAAACTGAACTTAGGGATCAGCAAATATTGTCCCCATACAAGACTCGTGTGTATTCTTGTTGACTGTTGGTGAGCTTTGTGTATATCTTCCAGATCTGTGCTGAAATCCAGTGTGAGACTTGGAGCTTCCTGTAATAAAGACCGCTCACTGCTGCTCTCTCTCCTTGTGCAGGGTGACTGATCTTGTGTCCGCCCCCTTCTGTAATATAGACCGGTCACTGCTGTTCTCTCTCCTTGTGCAGGGTGACTGATCTTGTCTCCGCCCCTCCTGTTATAAAGACCGGTCACTGCTGCTCTCTCTAATGTACAGGGTGACTGGTCTTGTCTCCGCCCCCTCCTGTAATATAGACCGGTCACTGCTGTTCTCTCTCCTTATGCAGGGTGACTGATCTTGTCTCCGCCCCTCCTGTTATAAAGACCGGTCACTGCTGCTCTCTCTAATGTACAGGGTGATTGGTCTTGTCTCCGCCCCCTCCTGTTATAAAGACCGGTCACTGCTGCTCTCTCTAATGTGCAGGGTGATTGGTCTTGTCTCCGCCCCCTCCTGTAATAAAGACCACCAACTGATTCTCTCTCTCCTTGTGCAGGGGACTGGTCTTGTCTCCGCCCCATCCCTGTAGTTTTCTACAGGCAGCCTGTAGTAGGTGGAGCTTCTGGGCCTCTACCACAGCTCTGCATTCTGTTCAGGCTTGTATAGGCATTTGGCGCACACAAAGTCGATTTATATCCTCCGTGGCTCTTGAGGAATAGATTGAAATGAGAGTTCAGCTTTAAGCTCACCACTCATCTGACTCTACGAGCTCCTTCAAGTCAACCAGAAACTTTTCAGTACAAGGACCTTTCCGATATACAATACAAATTGAATTGATGGTTTGGATGGTCCCTCTTAGATGAGGTCTGCTGTGCAGGAAATTACAGACGTCTTATACCAAGAAGAGATTGCTGTACTTTTCCTTCTCCTCATAACCCAAACCCATTATAACGGCAATCACAGCGATCCAAAGGATGGGAGACGGCCGGCCGGCAGATAAATATTTCATATATCCCGAGCTCGGCCAGAAAACTGACTAGATGGATTCTTTTCTCTTATTTCTATATAGTTATAAATAGGGTTGCACAGATACCAAGTACAGTACTCGGTACAAGTACGAGTACATGTACCGATACTTCTGTGCTCCAAGACTAGACTAGAGAAAAATTCAGAAGTTAGGAGGCGGCTGTCATTTGTAAGGAGCACACGGAGCTCCTGGGATTTGTGCATCTCTGTTTTAATGTACGATTTTGTTTTTATAACAATAAATAAAGGGATGCACAGATACCAGTTTTGCGAGTACAAGTACTGATACATTTTTGTTTATTGTCATGTGACAGTTTTTCTAAAACAATACAGACTAATGATTTAGGACAGTGGTGGAGTGCCAGAGCAGCTGCAACCGCTGCAACCCTGGTAGTTCTCATGAAAATGCCAAGTATCTGCACTGGTACTCGAAAAGTATCTGTGCATCCCTAGTTATAAATATAATATTTCCCAGTTGCCATAACAACCCGCAGAGGCTTTTGCCAATGTCCAAAAAATGTATGTTCTGCCACCGTAAAAGCCAAAACCGCATTAAAAAAAAAAAGTCTATCTGACGTTCCCTATATCAGACTGACCCAAAGTGACTGGAGACCAGTGCTGAGCCTACTGGGAAGGGCAGGGAAGGCAGCTGCCAGGGGCACCGGTATGAGGGGGCACAATACTTCATTGTAAGAATGTATTTTACTCGTTGGGAAAGGGAAAAGTACAGAAATCTTTTCTTGGTATAAGACGTCTGTAATTTCCTGGGAAGGCCCCCTGTCCTTCTCTATGGGACTATGCGGCCATGCGCCGCCCTACACTCGCCCGCCCTGCACGTTGGCGGGTGTCCGTACTCGTACGCTGACCGGATGGATCCTGTCTGCGTCCGAGCCGGGACACCCGCACCCATACAGACCTGCAGTCCCATAGAGAAGGACAGGGGCTGCATACTAATCACACACAGCACCTGTGCTTCCCGGGAGCTGCCCGATACGACCGCGCACGCAGCACGGAGCTGTACGCGCTGGCTGTTTCTTGTGTGAATGAGGACATAGTCTGTCCAAAACTAAAAAATTAAGTTTGGCTTCTGTTTTTTTTTATGTACAAACTTTTACCCCTCCCAGAAATATTCCTTAGGCTCCCTCAGGGGGCGGTTTGGGTTTTGGAGATGGTTCATGTGACCAAGCTTCATGTTATACCCTCAATATGGGTGTCGCGGGTCTAAAGCGGCGGAGTTCGCCTTTAAGAATCAACTTTCTCCAAATGAGATATTTAATTTTACTGCCTTCAGATGTTTTCCGATGATAATGCGGAATATCATTCCCCGTCCTTTCATTACGCTTCCTCTGTCTGCGGCTCTTTGTAAAGTTTTGAAGTTCTTCCTCATTTGACTCGTCTGATCTCATATTATCCTCTTCTATTCTCTGCTGGAAGTTCAGGCAATTTTTCGGAGTGTACAAAAAAGTGTTTAAAAATAGCGAGTTTGTTAAATAGAAGTCAGAGGAGTTCAGAGCTGAGACGAAACTCCAGACTTGTCATTGTAGGGATGAGCGTGGCAGGGAAATCAACTCTGCGAGCTGTGAGCATTTAACATGCCAAGCTCAGACCCGGGAACTCAGCACAGGGATGGTGGGAGCCCCTCATAATGGGCACAGCAGGTGTACAGACCCAGGAACTCGGCACAGGGATGGGGGGAGCTCCTCATAATGGGCACAGCAGGTGTACAGACCCGGGAACTCAGCACAGGGATGGTGGGAAACTGCCATTCTGCTCCCTGACAGCGAGGTGAGAGGTTGCTGGTTCCTTAGCTCGTGAGCTTCCAGAGACCGGGGGCTAGAGTTGCTTCTCTGCCCCCAGGAGAGATGCTGAGGGTGGTGCAGGACATTCTAGGTGAGGTCGGGAAGATTCGGGGTCTTGAGAAAGACAGGTGGCAGCAGGGGGCCTGGATAAAGGCGTGGAGGAATATCAGGACTCTGTAGCTGCTGCCTGTTGATCTCGGGGTGTGCGGCTTTTCTCTCTCTGTCCTTTCTCCCCGAGATTTTCAGATCAGATAAATTTTTGATAAGAGGCTACATGCATGGTGACGGTGATGTTCCTTAGTCTGGCTCTCTCATAAAGACCTGGGAACTCAGGACAGGGATGGCGGGGACAACTTTCCAGCACATACAGCTTGAAGTCCATAGAGAGTGAAAGGTATCATGGAATGTTGACTTTATCTAAAAGGGATGTATACCAGTGCATAGGGAGGGTGTGGGGGCCCGGTAGTCTAATTACATCGCCGAGAACACTTGTAAAGAAACAAGTGATTTCTCCTATTCTACATTTAGCTCGACTTGTGCAAAGCAGGGCTAAATGTAGAAAGTAAATTACCGCCCGGTGCCCGGAACTCTGTGTTCCGGGTGTCGGGTGATTCAAACCTGTGCCGCCCCTCTGCTCAGTGCCGCCCCGAGGCCGGGCCTCGGTGGCCTTGCCGGAAATCTGGCCCTGCCTGTAACAGTCAGTAACTATAAAATATTTCGGTAGTAAATGAGTCATGTTATCAAGCTAATGGATGTATATTGAAGCTGCTACATGTGGTGTGGACATCTAGGATTCCATGAACGTTGGTCATGTAGGATTTAATGGACCAGTGTTATAACGTGGAGATTGACAAACCCTGCACTCCCGGTAAGGCCTGAGGCCTGACCAGATGATTGACTAGTTGGTAATGTTACTTTATCTTATTGTCTATCATTGCTTTTCAGACCAGCGTCAGCATCGAGCTCAGGTATCAGACCATGGACGGTTCCGTGGGCGCCTGGAACGATGGAGAGTTTTTGGGCAACACAAACGTGCAGTGCGAGATGGACATTAACTACCAGTTAGAGACGGACAGTTTGCTCTCCGGTCATAGCCAAAATTCTGCCACATCACCAGGCCGACAGCACCAAAGTCTGCTCTCTGGGGAGAGGACCTTCCGAAGGTAACAATAATTCTTCTACTTCATGGCATGCCATCTTGAAACTTTCCCTTAACCCTTCTTGTCCTAAAGCAGAACTCGCCACAGGCTGCCTCTCATTACCCACCCAACCATAACCAAGCTTGGTTGGAGAGTCCATCAACATGCTGTAGCTGGCAACTCGCTTATAATTCTGAAACAACTGTATCTGGGTTATAGACATGACATTCTAGGTGTGGCATTAGGGTTGCCACCTTTTCTTCAAGCAAATCCCGAACACACTCTAGCGACGCGCTGACTTTTTTTGGGGAGAATGAGTGGTGGCATATTCATATGTAAATAGCGCCACCCATGTATATGTAAATATAACAGTTGAGACTATTTTCAGTGGGGGGGGGGGGGCGGTAGCCCCTATCTTAATTTTGGTTGCCCCTGTCTGCCTGACATCTTGTGTCCGGGTTTCTGCTGCCATGAAACCCAAACACAGCATTCAAAACCCGAACTGTCTGGGTAAATCCTGGACAGGTGGCAACCCTATGTGGCATGCCACTGGAGTTTTATGGAATGATATGCATAGCTCCTCCCACAGTCTTTAAATATGGAATAAACCTCTTGATGGAATTTGTAATGATTAGAAATTGTTCACATAAGGCCCCACTTACACTTCAGCTGGGCAACTTTGGGTGTTTTTTGGGTGTTTTTCTTTGAGCGTTGATTCAAGCATTTTTGCACGCGTTTCAGGCTTGAGCGTATTTATTTTTGTTCTATGTTTAGCCAATGCAAAGCTAGTTACTGGGCAAAAAAATAACACTTGAAAAACATGTGGTTTCACACTTTTTTAGGCATGTCTTTTGGGGCATGTCTCTGCTCCAAAAGAAGCTCATGTACTTTTATGAGCTGCAGGCATTTTGCTACAAGAAACGGAGACTATTGAACACATTGGGATTCCTCCTGTTGAGTGTTGTAGCACTTCGGCTGGGTTCACAACTCGGCGTACTATAGGCGCGGTTTTTTCTGCTCGTTTTTCACGCGTTTCTTAGCACGTTTTTTCGTTCGGTGAAACGCGCGTTCGATGCTCGCTTTTTATACCTCCCTGGCGGTATGATTTTTTTTTTGTTCTATCTTTTTAACGTTCAAACTTTCCGCCAGTTCTGCAATCCCTGCGACTAGGCCGCTCGCAAGGGACGGAACCCGGAAGACGGCAGTGGCCGGAGGACACAGCGGGGATCGCGGACAAGGTAAGTCCTACGCTGTATTCCCGAGTGTGGCTCGGGGGTCACCGCTTTGTTAACCCCGAGCCACACTCGGGAATACCAATGGAAACGCGCGGAAAAACGCCCCAAAAGAAGCTCCTGTACTTGTTAGGGCGTTTTTCAGCGCGTTTCTACACGCTGAAATACGCCCAGGTGGGAACCATGCCCATAGGAAAGTATGGGATTTCCCGTGCGGAGCGTTTTTCAGCGCTTCGAACAGCGCTCAAAAACGCCCAGGTGTGAACCAGCACTTAGGTATTTGAGCAACAAAACGCTCGGGTGTGAATGGAGCCTAAGAGCTGTCTTCCTCAGCATGCTGAAGGAAAAGGGAAATCATTGCTTTGGTTTAACTCTGTCTTTGGTTGGTTCGGTGTAACTTTTTAAATGATGTTTGTTTTTGGCTCTTTGTGTTTCCTGAAATGTATGAGAAGGTTTCAGTAGTCCACCAGAATGAGGACAGGCAACACCCAACTTCTGCTCAGACTGATTTATTGTCATTACGTGTACAAACAGGCTCAACGAATGAAAATCTTTATATTGACAACTTAAATCAATGTTTTAACAACTTATATAGTTATTTTAAGTGGTGTCCCTACACTGTTTGCCACCTGAGGTGATGGTGGAGGAGTAATTAGAGCAGCAGGAAATGGGAAGAGGGGACAGCGCCACCAGAGAGGAAAGTGATGCCACCTTCTGCATCTCCCGGCCTGGCTCTTAGCAACCTGAAATGCTCTGGCCGGCGTCCTGCCCAGCTCCTGGCAACCAGTGAAGTTACTGGTTGCCAGGAGCTGGGCTGAACGGCGTTCCAGGTTGCTAAGAGCTGAGTGGGGAGCTGTGTATGGCCCTTACAGATCTCCCTGCCCGGCTCATAGCAACATGGGACACTCTGGCTGGAAAGGGAGCAGCAGGCACCCTGCACACAATCAGCAGCGGGCACCCTGCACACAATCAGCAGCAGGCACCCTTCAAACAATCAGCAGCGGGCACCCTGCACACAATCAGCAGCAGGCACTCTGCACACAATCAGCAACAGGCACTCTGCACACATTGTGCAGCAGAGCGGCCATGCCACTCCCCCCCGCGTGACCCCAAAACGGCTTGGGTTTCCTCATTAAAGGGACAGCCCTGGCTATTTTGGTGTATCATACCACATGACAGTTCCTTTATTGTCATATGAATTGAATAATTTATTTGTAAAGTAGTAGGGACAGGTCGGGTTTCTAGTGATTCACCTCTGTTTGTCCTAGTGACCATTGGAAAGAAAAAAATTACCAAAATTCTCACCAAAACATGAGACAAGAGGAGAGGGGAACTCTTCCCATAGGGACACCTATTACGGTGACAGCTGTCCAAGGGGGGATTTCCCCCAACTTTGGAGAGATTTCCTCTCACTTGTGTTTGGGGAGAGGAAGTGAATGGAAATCTCCCTAACTGAACATAAAAAAGGAACCATTCCATACTTCATCCAAACCCTCCCAAAAATGTCTTTAGATATACATCATTTTAAGACAACTTCGATAATAGACATTCCAAGCAGTGTACTTGCTCCTCCACAACAAAATTCTGATTACTGCAGTCTAGTTTTTTGTTTCTGTGTTTACAGAAAATCAGAACATTTCCAAACTACCTGAACCACTTGGCAATTTGGAACGTAAGGGATACATCCTAACAAAATAGAAATACGTTTTTAGGTGTGACGACATAGTCATCAGTTTAGGGGTTAAATGTGTATTGGTGTTGGGTTATGTTATCTCCCTTTGTACTCTGAAGGAGCTAAGGATAATGACATTCTGGCCAGACTCCTGCTATGGCTGTCTGGAGCTCTTTAGCAGGTGGACCCCTGCTGGGTTGTGCAGACCGAATGTCTAGGGAGGGCAGGGGGGATGTGATGGGGTTACAATTTTATCTGATCACTTTGTGTATAAAAGGTTGCACAGTTTTTTAATAAACCAGAGTTTGTTTCACCTTACACTTGGTCCTGACTAGTGACTGGGGAAACTGAGAGCTAAAGATCAGCGGGTTGCAGTATCTCCTGAGCAAGGAAGAATACAGCGGCGGACATACTCATCCTGAGTACCGGGGTCCTTCACAACCACCTTGTGTCAAAGTGGTCTTACTCATGGTAGGCTCTTTGTGAGGAACTTGGCTCTTTGCTTGTTGGGGCTTTGTATGGTGATGTGTTGCAGGAAATGATTCCCAGAAGCGTTTGGATATAAGGGATGATACGATGTAGACAGGAAATCCCTGCGTCTAATGCATATCAATAACACATTCTGTTTACCCAGCATAAGTCCTTTAAGTCGGTGAGTCATACATAACGGGTCTGGGAAACTCACACAAGCGTTGTTATTACAGAAAAACAAGAGTCTTTTGTTGTCTGTATACAATCGTAATTAAGAGCTTTTTATGTGCTGTGGCTACAAATGGTCAGAGCGGAGGGTGGAGTGATACATGAGGGCTGGACTGATGGGAATAGTTCAGTGGTGTTCTGCGTATGTTCATAGAAGGACTACACTTACAGTATATGGTCAAGAGTTTGTGGACACCTGAGCATTACACCACTATATGGCCAAGTATAAGTGGACCCCCTCCAAATAATTGAGTTCAGCTGTTCCCGGTGGAGGGTTATGTTAAGTCTCCATCATACAAAGAGATTTTAGACAATTCCAGCCTTGTGGTGACAGTTTGGTGAAGACCCCTTTCTGTTCTACCATGACTGTGCTCCTGTGTACAAAGCCAGCTCCATAAAGACATGGTGTGGCCAGCTTGGTGTGGAGGAACTCAAGTGTCATGCACAGAGCCCTGACCTCAATCCTACTGAACACCTTGGGGATGGAATAGGATGCTGATTGAGGTCTTCTCATCCAACTTTAATACCTGGCCTCACAAATGGGCACAAATTCCCAGAGACACACTCAAAAATCTTGGGCTAAGCCTTTCCAGAAAAGGCTGTTATAGCTCCATAGGAGAGCAACTCCACATTGATGACCATAGGGGAAATTCAGCAGGCTCATGCAAGTGTGATGGTCAGGAGTCCACAAACATTGCGCCATGTTTTTGGTTTGGTTTTTTTTAAGGGCGTGGAGCGTGCATCCAAAAAAAAAACATCTCCTGTGAACAAAAAAAGTGAATAGTGAAATCAAAACACACTAAAAAAAAGTGCATGAGGGTGCCTTGGGTCCTCCTCTGATGAGGAAGTGCCACAATTTCCTGATCCCCGGGGCGCAAGGCTCCTAATAGGAACAAGAACGACTTGGGTCTACCTGCCCGAAGGCCGACGGACCCCGATCCTCTGGGACCTGCCGAAACAGGTCCACCGAGTACTAGGTGGGGGCTCCTCCGAAGGAAGACCTCCAAGTGAGAGGAGTCAGGGAAGCCCGTAGAGGCCATATAAATTCCTCCCAAACATCAGGAACAGGCCCCGAAGGTACCCGCACCCTCCGTCATTCTGTGAAGTCAAAAGTGCATCCGTGCATAAAAATAGTGCTTGAAATAAATAAGTTCCGGTGCACAAACCTGGCAGGCCGTCCAGGACAAAGTATAAAAATTGCCCGGCCTAGCCAGAAGGCCTGCCCAAGAGGCGTGGTGCAAATAATTGCTTAAGCGACTGTGACCTAGTGCTGGTGAATCAAGTGGGGTCCCAAACCCATGTGAGACGCCACTCCCAGGTGGCACAGTACCGCAGGCTTCTGCACTATCCGAACCCTCCGGCCAGACAAATGCAGCCCCATCCCTACAAGAAGGCATTAGCATCAGAGGGGTTCCTGCCAT